ACTCTGTTGGAACAAGTAGGCTGCTCAAAATACTTGGACAATTTACAATAGATGCATGCTATCTTTCACAATAGAGATCTGAGTTTGTGCTTGATCTAATAAGCAATTATTGTGTACATCAGTGGTTCTTGACCTTTGATCCTCCAGGTGATCTGGACTTCAACTCCCAGAAATCCTAGTCAGCTTTTCAGCTGTTAGAAATCATGGGTGCTGAAGTTTAAAATACCTGGAGGACCACTAGTGTATATGGTTGTTGTGTGCATTTATAGCACTTCATGGTGGCCAAGCTTGATGCAATTATAATTTGAGATTTCAAGCATTGATCCCTGTTGTAAGACTTCTGTTACATAAAAAAGGGATAATTTTAGCAAATGTTCACCAAAAGAACTTTACTTTTGCATGTGCAGCTAAAGATTCCAGTATCTGGAACGAAGTCAGTTGGATGGCTCCAAGTCAGTTCAGAGAGAAATCTCTCCCTTAACAGGTATGTATGTATATCTAAAGAAAAAGACTATCCTTAGGAAAAAAATGTTTAGACTTGTCTTGATCATTATGGTCTCTGGTAGAGCATGAAATATGGATCAATTGACTTTATGTAAAACACCACCTTTCTAGATTTGTAATTGCATCATTTATTGTGCATAACAGATCTAGGTGAATTGTTTGCAATTGATTATCCCCTTTAAAGGAACTATTACATTTGTGCTCAGTTGACATATATGGCAATACTAACTTTACCCACCACGTGTTGCCGAGGCCAACCTTCCCTCTTCTTTCTTTCTCTCCTTCCTTCCCTTCTCTTTCCATCCTTCCCTTTTTTCTTTCTCCCCTTCCTTCATTCTCTTCTTCTTACCTTCCATCCCTCCCACCTTTTCATTCCCTTCCTCTTTCTGTCCTTTCCTCTATCTCTACCAATTTTTGGACTGCAACTCCCAGCAGTCCTCCTGATCGATCTAGCTACCTACCTACCTATCTATCTCTATCCAATCTATCTGGAGGATTGCTGGGAGTCGCAGTCCAGGAATAGGAAATTAGAAATATGCAGGGATTGGGGTGCTCTCAAAGAAATCCAAGAAGAAAGCTTGCAGCTTGGAAGAAGTGCATTTGGATCATCCTCCTCTCCTAAAGGACCTGGTCTAAGGGATGTTAGGAGTTGTAGTCTGGAACAGAGTTTGGATATGCTATTGGGTGTTTTGTTTGCCGGGAGAGTCATTTTTGCACATGCGCTGTAGCAACTTTTTGCTTTTTTTTTGGCTTTTTAAGTCCTTCCATGTGTTTTTCAGTATTTTTATGAGTGATGGTCACTTGTTGGCCTGAAAGGTCCAAATTTGGTGTCAATTCGCCCAGTGGTTTTTGAGTTATGTTAATGCCACAAATGAACATTACATTTTTATTTATAAAGATTTAGGTGCTGTTCCACAAGGTACGGATATAACTGAAGACAGTTCCGACTGTCTGACGTGGCAGCACTGCATGCAACTATGTATGTGATCTGCATGTGTAATTTAAGCTCATGTTTCAGGCGGATTTATCCCACTACTCCTTAAACTGTGGGTCCCTTAGCTCAATGTTGGGGTCATGAAAAATCTGGCAACAGTAAAAGATTTCTGAATGCCACCCATTCACACAAATCTGTTTAGAAGACTGTACAATGTTTACAGTGGACTCTGCAGAAAATGCTTCAGCTCTGCTCCAAGAAAAGAAAAAATCAGCCAATTAAACAAACATTACAAATACTGATTTATTTTCAGTAAATGTTTGATTTTATACCTATTTTATATACCTGTATACTTAGGTCACGTAAAAAATTCTCAGGTAAAAAGGGGTTGCAAAAAATCAAAAGTCATAATTTATACCATTTTATTTTCATGTCTGAAGCAACCTGAAAAACTGCAAGTCGCTTTTGATGTAAGAGATTTGGCCATCTGCAGGGACGTTGCCCAGGGAACACCCAGATGTTTTATCATCCTGTGGGAGGCTTCTCTCATGCCCCCACATGGAAAGCTGGATCTGACAGACGGGAGCTCACCCAGTCTCACAGATTCAAACCGCCGACCTTCAAGTCAGCAGTCCAGCCGGCAGAAGAGTTTGACCCATTGCACCACTGCAGCTCCTGATTTATACCATAATGATATCATTCACTGCTCTGTAATTAAGCAAAACAATACATCTGAGAACCACATATGTAGAGCTGATTGGGGTAAATTGTAGGGGTGATAATGAAATATGATGTATATACTCATCTTGATAAGTTTATCAGTTTTATCACATCTTATCATATTTATTTACTGTATTGTTATAAGTGTCTTATTTTAACTTACTAAGTGGAGTGTGATAAGGTCTTATCAGTCCTTGTTGTTTTCTTTCTTATTGTGATGTGGCCTAAGGGCTAATCAATAAAATTACTTACTTATATCATTCACTGAAGTAGTTTTATGCCTATTGGCTTGGAAGCAATAGTAAAATAATACTTTTCATACTCAGGTAGATAAAACTGAGAGAATTTAAAAATAATTGCCAGACCTTTTATGTAATTAACTAAGTAACAGAGTTGCTAAGAAGTCGAGTTACTGATTCGGGAAGATGCTTAACAGAACACTAGCACAAGTTCCCAATGCACGGTAATGCTCAATATTCATCAGTTTCAGTATTTTATCATTTTAAACATCTGTACTACAATGGGTTGAATCTAGGTGCCTCATGGCCCTTTTCAGGAGTTACACCACATCCTGTTTAGCAGATTCCACTAATCCTCTATCTAGCATTTTCTGGATGTTTGGAGGGGAGCAGAAGGGTTCTGGAGGGGGAGGACAGTCTGTTTGCACTAGCCCAGTTATAAGCTTAATTATTGAATTTATAGCCCTATCTTTATGAGGCTGGGTTCAGCAATTAAATGTCTAATTGTCTGTTTTATGACAGTTGGTGTCTAAAGGAGGTCACCTTGCAACTCCATAATGGTCAAAGTATTCTGGTGTACCCTTCTACTGTGAAGAATGCTACTGAACAAGAGGTGTAAAACTGCTGCTTGTGCTACTAATATTGTCATGGAAAATGAACAGCCTAGATGACAATCTTCCCTTGAGAGATGAATTCTGGAAAATTAATATAACAATGACAATGGGCTGGATCTACATTTATACGAGGGTTATCCGGAAAATAAGGTTACAAGGCATGAAGCTCTTGTGGGGAATTTTTGTGGGGGAAGTTGGTATCACTGCCATGTAGTGGGAAGCCAGCGGAAGTGAACGAGCAGTGTCAATCATCAGTAACTCATCCACTGGCATTGTGGTGAAGGTTAGAGATGAGCTTCCTCATTCCATTTCCCTCCAAGTGCGAAGTTTGCGCTGTAATACGCTACCTAAATGCTAAGGGCGTGAACACCGCTGCGATTCATCGTGAAATTGTTTCAGTTTATGGAAAGGACATATCAAGACAGCATGTGACAAAATGGGAACAGAATATATTGTGAGAGCATGAAGAAACTTCACAGAGTCATCTGAAACAAACATCATGAGAACCTGATGGCAGGAGTCTGTCTCCTTCATGACAATGTGCACCCGCATACCGCTCATGCAACACAAGAGGAGTTGACTTCATTTGGTCAGGATGTTTTAAGCCACCCCTCCACAGCCCCCTCTTGTACCCAGTGACTATCATCTGTTCACTAAATTGAAGGAACACCTTGGTGGAAAACACTTTTCCAATAACAACGAGGTGAAAATCGAAGTGACAAACTGGCTGAATCTTCTAGGGAATCTTCTATGACATAGACATCAAAAATTGAATGTGGAAAAATAATGTAATACCTATGCTACAATCCATGTAAGTTTTATTAAAATATATTCATTCTTTGTATTATTATTTTTTTAAAATTTTGTAACCTTACTTTCCGAATAACTCGTAGATTCAAGTGAGCTGGACAAGTAGGTGTAAGACAGTGAATACATGATGTGAAGCTTCTGCATGAAGGCTTTTGTCTGTCCAAATAAAATGATGAGTAAAATGTTTTCAATATTTTAGTTCTCTTTCATCTGGTTCTAGGAAATCAGTAAGAACAGAACTGTTGAACTTATAGTAATTTTAACTGTTTATGCTCTTCGCAGCCAAAGTTAATCTGTCTTCTACATTAGCTAAATATTTCAACACAAGATTTACGAAACTGGTATTAATGATACCCTTGATGATATCTAGTTAGTTTACTAGAGCTATTGCTCCCAAAGTTTGAAGTTATTTGGGGCTTGGTATTAAACATTAATAGTAATGGATTTCATTTTCTATTTTGTAATCCTTAAATTAAACACTATTTTCCTTGATCTGGGGGGGGGGGGGGGGCTGGTAAAAATACTGTCATTGTCCAGGCAGGATCTTGGCCTCTTTCACATATAGTAGCAGACTATTTGATATTTACTCAGTTCTTTCAGCATAGTTATTAAAGCTATATATGCCAAATGAAGTTGATATTAATAGTGAAATACTATAATGGAAGGCAAATTAAGACAAATAAAAATAAACTTAATGTAAGTATTACTGTATTATATATACATGCATTTTAGTTTTTATTTGAAGTATTATTTATTTGATTTTTGGGCCGGTTCCTTGAGAGTTCTGGTTACGTCTGTTTGGGGTAACTATGGGTCCTTCCATACAGCCATAAACCCCAGAATATCAAGGCAGATAATCCACAGTATCTGCTTTACATTGGGCTATCTGGGTTCATACTGCCATATAATCCAGTTCAATGTGGATTTTATAGAGCTGTGTGGAAGGAGCCTGGGTGTCTCCTGTCTTAGGTTATACAGAACCACCCAGAAAGATAGATATGTGTTTGTGTGGAAGTACACAAGTACTGTTCAATGGGGCATCATGGGCACATCTGTGATGCACAAATTGCCTATTTCTTTCATCTTCTTGCCATCAAGAAAATAAAGCTTTAGTACAATCTTGAAATTCCTTGTTGTTGTCAATAAAGAGATCATCAAATGAAAAAAAATTAATAGCTCTGACAAGAAGGAATCCATTTATTAAACCCTTAACATTTAAATATGTTACTTATAAAATATGAAAAACCAAGATAATACATATATACTCCAGAGATATTACTCTTATTAGCACTGTTACTTTGACATGTATTAAAGACAGGAATTATAAGTACACATTTCATTAGCTATTCTTAAGGTTCAATGGCTACTTTTTCAGTAGTAGTATTTCTTGAAATGAGAAATAATTTATCTCACTGTACAGAAATAATGTCAAGCCCTGAAGTTTAGGTTCTACTAAGCAGTATAACATATGACCTGATAGTTTTGTTGGAGGTTTAATATGGGAACAGACTGACAGCACATAAAAATGTAAAATAACCTGCTCAAGCCAAGCTAAGTCAGATGGATTTTAGTGCTATTTGATCAACTGAATTCCCCTCCATATTGGAGTCTGAACGCAAAAAAGTGTGTGTCAAGCGGAAAGCCACCACAGTAGAGAAAAGAAACAACCTTCCCTGTTAAAGCAGAATACTAACAGAAGTAATTTGATTTATAGCAGCAGTTCCAAACTTGCACTATAAAAGTATCATTGATTTTAATTAATCTTTATACAAATTAATTTGGAAGAGAAGGAGTGCAGCTAGCAACAAAAAAGATGTCTCCTCTCTTCCAAGTTTGACTTCCTAGTAGACTGCAATGAAGCAAGTGCTATTGCGATGAGAAGCATTTTTTCCCATTAAGGCACAGCACAGGCACCAACGCTATCAAGCATCTAAATTATCCTGCTTGATGACAATTCTTTGCAATGCACAGTTCCTATGCAAAACAGGGAGCCTGAGAGTTACATTGCTCCCTAAAACCTGAGTATATTAGTTTTGGCTTGGGGTCGAAGTTTATAGAATTGTAACCCATAAAGAGCACCATTAAAGAATTGGAAGGACCAGTTTCCCATTTCAAAACAAACAAGTTTACATTGGCCAACAAAAGAATATATCCATATGTGATTAAAAGAAATCTAAAATCACAAAGTATTCTGCAGAAGCGTGTAGACATATGGCACTTCTTTGCTACACCAGTCACTTTAGGGATTGTCCAATAACCACATTATTCCATATTCTCTTTCATTTTCCTTTTATGTTCACCATAAAGCACTTGTCAATTTGAACCATAACTCTGCAACTCAAAGTACCAGATATCAACATTAATACAAAATAAATGACACCTGTCACTTCTACTGTCATATAAGGATTCAAGAAGCTTAGCGATTCCTAGGAGCAAGAGTTTGTATGAGCCTCAACACAGAAGAGGACGGGTTGCTCATTTCAGAATATAAAATGGTTGCAAAGAATTGCGAGAAATATGGTGATAATTACACCCTCCCTCCTTTAGCTTTTGGAGAATTTACCTCTTCATACACTCCCTCAACTTCATATACTCACTGATATCCTGCTTATGGTTAATCTGTGTGTTGTACAATTTGAAAGTTGTTTCTTTGAATTATGAGGCTTCAAAATATGCATTCATTGCAAGAAAGCTTTCCATTTCCTTCATTTCTGGTAGCAATTCACTGCAACAATCTTCCATTTCTTATCTATTTTCTTCATGACAAATTAGCAAAGCAGAAACCGTTAGCATCGAATTTATGGAACTACAGTTTGTATCCTTACATAAATTGATACCGTTTCTATTTTAGGTGAACTTAAATGTTGCTTATAAGTTACGTTAGACTTCTGTAACATTACACATATTGCAAACATTTTGATTACTGTACTCGTCATAAAGAACAGCAAGTTGATACAATATAGAATACAGAGAAGTCTTCAAGCGGCCAATCATAAAAGAAACTGGCCTTGTTAGGCATACTTTAACATTCACAAATTAAATATTTTATCAAGCTATCTTTTGCACAAGACAAATCAAAATGTAATGAAATGCACTTTCTCCTGCAACTAAAAAAAATCTGCATTTCAAACTTGTGTTGGAAGAATAATCTAACTTTCAAGTGGCTAGGCTGGCAAAGACAATCTACAAAGCTCTGTGAATTCGTAGCTTGATTATCTCCTCACAGACATAATCTGAAACATGAAGTGAACTTTTTCTCCTGATTTAACCAATCTGTTTAGACAGGAGAACTAAAACCAATAACTTTTTTTCTTTTAGTATATATTGGACCCTTGGTGCAAGCTCTAAGGCATGCAGCAGCTTAGCTCAAGCATGGCCTTCATGAAATGTATCCAAATGGTGAACCATTAATATTCAATAGTCAAAAACACTAGCTAGATCCTCAGGAAACATAAAGTCAGACCACTTATAGGCTCACACAAACATCCACTGTAACTCATAAGACTAACACATTACCTTCATGCTAGGTAATTTTAGATTTTATACTTCTTTAACGGAATTCAAACACTCAAAAGGTTTCTTATTCTGACAGCATCAAATAGTATCCTAAGTTTTGTGTACCAAGTTTTTTAAGAATAGCTTATTTCCAACTTCATTTCATAAAACCTTGTTTTGCAGAAACAGATTCATTGCTAAGAGGTTTCAGAAGTCCAGCACAATTTCTGCTAAAGGCAAGCTAATGATCTGATAACGTGGAGAAAATTATGGAAATCCCACACTATTCAGTCAATAAGGCTTCGATGTGACTTTCATCCGTATATTATAACAATATTGTGCTCTTAAAATAAATAATACTGACAAACTAGCACATGCCCGCTCCAGCATGAATTTGAAAAGGCGGCCTTCCAAGAGGACTAAACAGATACAGAGTAATGCATATCTCAGTGCCAGGACAGTAAGAACTGACTGCCACAGTTATGAAACTTTCTGTATATTGGAAAATTCAAACATGTGGCATTTTAATCTGATAAATACAAAATAGCTTTACTATTGTTTACAGAATGAGATAGTATAGATCAAACAGCAAGAGACCCATGAAAAAGGCCACTCCATCAGTGACAACATGCTGATTTACACTGCTTTATTTACTGTTTTACTTCTTATAAGGACTCCTTTCAAGGTAGACTAAAGGCAAAACAACTTCATATAATGTAATATAGAAATTGGATGAGTCTATACCAGGTCTGCAAAACCTGTGGCCCTCCATGGGTTTGGGACTCCAACCCCCAGAAGCTCTTGCCTGCCTGTCCAATGGTCTGGAATTCTGGGAGCTGAAGTCCAAAACACCTGGAGGGCCACAGGTTGTGCAGACCTGGTTGATACAAACCAGTCTAGAGTAAAATGGCCACACTCAGGTTCTGACTTACTTAGTTTGAATTTGAACGTTAGCATGACTAGGCAGTCATAAGTGGAAGGAGGAGAGGTAAGACAATTCACCAGGGATGATGCCAGGATGTAGAATGTAGCTTAGTATAAATAAAGGCACCCTGTGTTCAAATACTAATGGCTTTTTATGTTTTGCTAGACTTGACAAAGTCCACCTATCAGATTGTCCAGATAACAAAAATATCTAACAAGTATAGTTCACAACTGCAAATATTCTCAATAGAAGATATAATCCAAAAGCTTTACATATAAACAATGTAGGGAAAATGAATGACTGCTTCTAGCTCTTCTCTAAAAGATACGTCTCATGAATCAATTCCATAAAAATAAGGAGTTTGGCACGGTTTTCTAGTTAACTTTTTGAACATTCCCTTCCTCTTCAGAATTACTTTTGTATATGAATGTGTAATTTAGTTATGTACGGAAAGGAAGGGGCAGTTTCCAGAGTTTGAATTTTAAGTTTCAAGAGGAAGAAACTAAGATGAAATTCAATAAATAAATTCTCCAGGTATTTCTTGTAATAATGGTTCCTCAAATTTAAACCGTTTGGAAATGGTTTTCTGTTCAACAATTTTATCTTTTTCTGACTGCCTACACTGGCCCAATGTATACGAAGCTACTACAATCAATTCTTCTGTCACTGCTGATTCTTCGGTTTTTTCTCCATCTGTAGAGGTTTCGGAAGCAGAATCTTCTTCATTTAGAATAGTGGCATTTGGCTCCTCTTCTGTGGTCCTAATCCACCCTAGAGTATCATGAACATCAGTCTGTGCTAACCAAGCGTGTAGCAGGCATTCGTCCGCTGTTGCCCGTTCCCTATACAAAAAAGGAGACAGAAAATGGCTTGAAAAAGCTGCCTAAAATAATTCAAGGCTAAACATTCAGCTAACAATAATTTTCCTTCAATTTCAAACTTTGCCTTCTGAGATTCAACCCTGAGCCAGGTTATAGTGGGATGTATGCAGAAGCAAGTTAAACAAGAAAATTAGAAGGGAATCCATTTTTACAATGCCATGTTTAACCTTTCTTATTAAATCATTTTGCAATGATTTCCATGATCATTACGAAGTTACCATACAGTGGGGAAAACTGTATTTTTTATTTTAAGTGTTTATATGTCACATTGTTATGCACTTTCCAGGGTTGTTTTTATTGTCAAGTAACTACACGTCAGAACTAAATAAAATTTCATAAGTCATCACCCCCTACCAAACCCAGAGATCCCCCTGTTCTGAGGACCAAGATCTATTGGAAATTCCCAGTGTCAAGACCTGGCGTCTAACAGCAACCAGACGCAGAGCCTTTACAGCAGTGGCACCATCGCTCTGGAATACTCTGCCACCTGAAGTCTGTGCCTTGCGGGACCTATCAGCTTTCCACAGGGCATGTAAGACATATCTGTTTCGACAGGCCTTTGATCTCTGACATTGTTGTTTTAAATTGTTTTTAAATTGTGTTAGATTTTAGCCTGTTCTTGTAAGCCGCTCCGAGCCCCAGGGGAGTGGCGGCATATAAGTTTGAATTATAAATAAATAAATAAATAAATAAATATTACAGTTATTTAATGTAGTTCAGAATCTGGATTACTATAAAAAAATAACATATGTACTTGAGTATAATGTGCTATTGAATGTAATTTGCACCTCGATTTTCAAGGTGTGCCTTATAAAAAAGGATTTGCTGTCAAATGTAATGCTAGGCAGTAGTGGCCATGAAAGGCTAGTGCAGTGGTTCTCAACCTGGGGTCCCCAGATGTTTTTGGTCTACAACTCCCAGAAATCCCAGCCAGTCTACCAGCTGTTAGGATTTCTGGGAGTTGAAGGTCAAAAACATCTGGGGACCCCAGGTTGAGAACCACTGGGCTAGTGGGAAAGCCTCACCTCTCTGCCTGGCCTTCCCACCAGTCTTTTCATGGCTACTACTGCCTCTCTCTCCCCTGCCTGCGGCTGGGAGCTCTTGCCCAACGAAGTAAACAAGTTTACATATGCGATTCGAACACATTATCGAATCTAATTAAATTTAAACATTTAATTTAGCAAAAAAAGGTGAGTGTTAAGATTTGAGTAAATATGGTAGCTTTTTAGGCCCCCATCTTAAATTGCAGAATATTTCAGCTTTAATGTATATGATTCTGCACTTTGCTGTTATGAAATACTCTAATTACATAAATTAATTTTTTTTAAAAATAATTCAGCCATTAAACATGGATCTGCAAAATCTGGAGCTACATCAGCCACAAAATGTACTTAATTTCAACATCCTGCCTCTAAAGAAAAAGGAGTTGCTTAGCTGTAATTGTGGTTCTATTGAATGATGCTCAGAACTCACACATATGGGATTCTCTGCACTTTCATAATCTATTTTTGGAAACTTCTAGAGCTAGATCTCTTTGGCTGAAGTTCTTTATGCTGAGGCTATAATGGCAGACGAGAGAACTGAAAGGGTTTGAATGGGAACCGTATGCAGTACATGTAGTATGGGAAGAAGGAAGCTTTCAGCCAAGAGATCTAGGTCAAGAAGTTTCCAAAGATGATCCTCACAGGTGCCGAGAATTGCAAATATGTGAGTTTAGATGACCACAAAAAGTGCTAGTATCACGTTAGTTTAAGCATGCAGAACTACTCAAGACTACTGAAAAGATGACAATGAAATATATTGCAATCATATACCATACAGAAATTGAAATAGCACTTTAATGTGTTATAAAGCATACACCATGCACATTTATATGTCATCACTTCTATTGCGAATAACGAAATAGCTGAGTGTTTTTTTAAAAGTAGGATGTGAAAATTTGAAGCCTTAATTGGCTCGAGTTTTTTTGAATTAAAATAAATGATAGTGCTCCTGAATTATTTAATGGTAAAAAGTGAAGAGATGGATGGTCCCCTTTGTCACTTGTTTTAGAGTGTTGCTTTAGCTGATGCAAAATAAGAAATATTGCAAAAGTACTAAAGGAAAATGGGAAATTATAAGCTTTTGTAGCTGACTTATTTCAAGAAGGGAAAAGTACTGAAAGGCAATGGGTCTTCCCTATTTCGATAATAGTAATAATAATAATAGCAATAGTAATAATAATGGGAAGTGTTCGACTTGTGATGTTGTGATACGAAATTCAGCATATATATATCTCGTTTGCTGTGACATGCTGTGTTTTTGTGTCAGTAAAATAGTAATAGTAGTAATAGTAAAGGTGGATCTTGTGGTGATCGGCACACTGAGTGTAGTGCCTAAAGACCTCAGCCAGTACTTAAAAACAATAGGTGCTGACAAAATCACCATCTGTCAGCTGCAGAAAGGCCACCCTACTCGGATCTGCACACGTTATTCGCCGATACATCACATAGTCCTAGACACTTGGAAAGTGTCCAACATGTGATCCAATGCAAAAGCCAGCATAGTGATCTTGTTTGCTGTGTATCAATCTTGTGTATCAAATAATAATAATAATAATTATAATTATTATTATTATTATTTTATTTATTATCAGCCTCTCTTTTCAGCTCAATATATAGAAACTATTCTATAAATTTATTTATTTATTTATTTATTTAATACACTTGTATACCGCTAATATCTCAGCCTGGATCGGCGACTCATTGCGGTTTACAACAATTAAAACAATCTCCAATTTAAAAACATATACACATACAATTCAAATTATTGGGCCACCAATAATAATCCCATATATCTTGAATTAAAATCATAATCCAGAATTCGTTGTCCATATTTTCCTGTCCTTAGTCATCAGATTCGATTGCCACAGATTAGCCGAATGCTTGTTTGAATAACCATGTTTTCAGTCTCTTCCTGAACACCATTAGCGAAGAGGCTGACCGTACCTCTATAGGGAGGGTGTTCCAAAGCCGGGGGGCCACCACAGAGAAGGCCCTGTCTCTCGTTCCCGCCAGCCGCACTTCTGAAGCTGGAGGGATACAGAGAAGGGACTCTCCAGAAGATCTTAGGGTCCTGGTGGGCTGATAGGCTGAGATACGTTCGGATAGATAAGTTGGGCCAGAACCGTTTAGGGCTTTAAAGGCCAACGCCAGCACTTTGAATTGAGCCCGGTAGCATATCGGCAGCCAGTGGAGCTGGTACAGCAGAGGAGTTGTATGCTCCCTGCGCCCTGCTCCTGTTAGTACCATGGCTGCCGCCCGTTGGACTAGTTGGAGCTTCCGAGCCGTCTTCAAAGGCAACCCCACGTAGAGAGCGTTGCAGTAGTCAAGGCAGGATGTAACCAGAGCGTGGACTACCGTGGCCAAGTCAGACTTCCCAAGGTACGGTCGCAGTTGGCGCACAAGTTTTAACTGTGCGAAAGCTCCCCTGGTCACCGCCGAAACCTGGGGTTCCAGGCTCAGCGATGAGTCCAGGATCACACCCAAACTGCGAACCTGCGTCTTCAGGGGGAGGGCGACCCCGTCTAACACAGGCTGTAACCCTATACCCTGTTCGGCCTTACGACTAACCAGGAGTACCTCTGTCTTGTCTGGATTCAATTTCAATTTGTTCGCCCCCATCCAGACCGTCACAGCGGCCAAGCACCGGTTCAGGACCTCGACAGCCTCCTTAGTAGCAGGTGGAAAGGAGTGACAGAGTTGGACATCATCTGCGTACAGATGACATCGCACTCCGAAACTCCGGCTGATCTCGCCCAGCGGCTTCATGTAGATGTTAAACAACATGGGAGACAGTATTGAACCCTGAGGAACTCCACAAGACAAAGGTTGTGGGGTTGAACAGGAGTCTCCCAGTAACACCTTCTGAGACCGACCCTCAAGGAATGAGCAGAGCCACTGCAAAACAATACCTCCAAGACCCATCCCCGCGAGGCGTCCCAGAAGGATACCGTGGTCGACGGTATCGAAGGCCGCTGAGAGGTCGAGCAGCACCAACAGGGACACACTCCCCCTGTCGAGCTCCCGACGCAGATCATCCACTAAGGAGACCAAGGCTGTCTCGGTACCATGCCCCGGCCTAAAGCCAGACTGTGCCGGATCCAGATAATCCGTGTCTACCAAGAATGCCTGGAGTTGTGAGGCCACCACACGTTCCATGACTTTGCCCAAAAAGGGGAGATTGGAAACAGGCCGATAGTTGACGAATTGAGTGGGGTCCAATGATGGTTTCTTCAACAGCGGTTTTATTACAGCTTGCTTTAAGCTGGCTGGAATTTTGCCTTCCCGGAGGGAGGCATTAACCACCACCTTCACCCACTCGGCCAACCCCCTCTGGCCTCCTTTAGAAGCCAGGATGGGCAGGGGTCTAGGATGCATGTGGTAGCTCTCATTCCTCCAAGCACCTTGTCCACATCCTCGGATTGAACCAATTGAAATGAATCCATCAAAACCGGACAAGCAGATGCTCGAGTTACATCCTCAGATACTGCCGTTAATATGGTATCCAGTCCAGAGCGGATCAAAGCGACTTTGTCTGCGAAGAACCGAGCAAAAGCTTCGCAGCGAGCTGCCGAGTCATCAGGGCACCCATCCTGAGTGGCGGGTTTTAATAGGCCTCTGACAACTCGGAACAATTCAGCCGGACGGTTCTTCGCAGACGCAATAGAGGCCGCAAAGAAGATTTTCTTTGCGGCCTTTATTGCCGCGGCATATGCCCTTAAAAGGACACAAACCGTGTTCGGTTTGGCTCGCTCGGATCAGAACGCCACACGCTCTCTAGTTCCCTCTTCTTTCGCTTCATCACTGCCAACTCCTCGTTGAACCAAGGAGCTGGTTTAGCTCGGCTACTTGAGAGGGGACGTTCCGGAGCGATCACGTCAATTGCCCTGGCCATCTCCCCATTCCAGAGAGCGACCAAGGCCTCGACATGGTCACCTGCCGCGGAGGCGGGAAAGTCCCCAAGAGCCGTCAGGAATCCATCGGATCCATAAGCCTCCTGGGGCGGACCATCTTAATGGGTCCTCCACCTCTGCGGAGGTTAGGGGGTGCAGTGAGTCTAAAGCTGACCAGGTGGTGGTCGGTCCATGGCAACGGAGAGATGGATAACTCCTCAACACCGCCACCTTCCTCCCATCCCTGACAGAAAACCAAGTCCAATGTATGTCCAGCACTGTGGGTGGGGCCAGATACTTGTTGGGACAGCCCCATGGTTGCCATGGTAGACATGAAGTCCTGAGCCGCTCCCGATGAGGCGGACTCGGCGTGGATATTGAAGTCCCCCAGCACAAGCAGCCGTTGGGACTCCAACACCAGGTCCGAGACCACCCCTGCTAGCTCAGTCAGGGAGTCTGAAGTGCAGCGAGGTGGACGGTACACTAACAGAATCCCTAATCTGTCCCGGTCACCCACCTTCAGGTGGACACATTCAAATTTTGTTGACTGCGGGATGGGGGCCCTGGTCAGAAGAATGGTGTCTCTATAAACCACTGCAACTCCGCCTCCCCGCCCTCCGGATCTCGGTTGGTGCTGCACAGAGAAACCTGGTGGGCAAAGCTGGGTTAAATTTACACCTCCCGCTTCGTCCAACCAGGTCTCTGTGATGCACGCCAGATCTGCCCGTTCATCCAGGATTAAATCCTGGATGAAAGTTGTTTTACCGTTGACAGATCTGGCGTTCAACAGCACCACTTTCAATTCGGAGGGACCGCCATCCTGGTTACACCGACTTACCATATCAGGAGACCGATTTGGGATTACTAAAGTTGTTCCCCGTTCCCTAGGTCGAATTAAAGGTCTCCCTTTCCCGTATCTCCCCCTCCCCACCACCAAAGAGTTTTATATTTAAAACAGGAAATATTTGAGTTGTGTAAGAAAAAATATACCCTGACATTGTAATATATATTTGGGGGGGGGGGGGGAGAGAACTATAAGGCATAAAAAACCTGTATCAAAGGCAGAAGCAATATTGTGGTGTTCATAAACCATGTGCATAAAAGACCTCTTGCTATTATCTGCATAACCATAAGCCAAAGGCAGAGGCAATATTACAAAGGCAGAGGCAATATTACTGTGGTCATAAAGCAAGGTTTATAAATGCCAGGATCTTGCTTCATCATTTTACCTACTTAACTGAGTATTTGAAGGATGGTGTAAATGCCTTAATGGTTATTCCTGTTGAAAAAGCCAGAAATATTTTATCAGTTTCCACATGGAACACATATGGCACTTGGAAGTCTCTCTCATATATACACACACACATACATATATCACCAATAAAGTAAAATCTTTAAATAGAACTTACTCAGGTTTTTTAACTAGAAGAGATTTGATGAAATCCACAGCAGATTCAGATATAAGGTCAAAATCCTCAGCATAATTTACATTCATCTGTGAAATATTTAAGAATGTTTCTTGTTTATCACTTCCCAGGAAAGGTGATACTCCTGTTAGCATAACATATGCTAGTACTCCAATGCTCCTAAATTAAAAAACAGAAAGAGCTTAACTTTAAAAGGAACATTTTCGATTTTCAAAATAGGTAATTAATAAAGGTTTCTCCTTACCACATATCTGTTGCAGTACTGATTGGATCGTAACTCAGGATTTCAGGTGCTAATGCAAGAAGGAGAGTCATTTTAAACAATGCAATGTTTTAACAAAGCTTTATGCTTTCTATAAAAATGTGAATTTACTACCAAGATACCTAAGCCAGACCATTTCATACAAAGTAGGGGTCCCCAAACCAAGGTCCGCAGGCTGGATGCAGCCCTCTAAGATTATTTACCTGGTCCCTTCCCTAAACTTTAGACTTAGGATTGCTCTAAGTCTGAAATGACTTGAAGGCACACAACAGCAACAATCTTAATTAACTTGACTATCTCATCAGCCAAAAGCAGAATCACACTTCCCACAGAAATAGTGGTAAGTTTATGGCGGTTAAAATGGTTATTCATTTAAAGTATTGTATTGTTCTTTCAATTTTGCATTACAAATAAGGTATGTGCAGTGAGCATACAAATGCATTCACCCCCCCCCCCCAAACAATAGTCCGGACCCCCAACAGTCTGAGGGACCATGAACTAGCCCTCAGCTTAAAAGGTTTGAGAACTCTGATATATAGGAAGCCCCTGCTTACCGGATAGGTTTGGGAGCCCAACACTGTCAGAAACTGAAATTGGTTGAAAAATGAAATCTAGTTTTTAAAATAATAATAATAATAATAATAATACACTTTATTTCTATTTTAGCTTGTAAATACATTTGTAGTGCAAAAAACAATACTGTCGCGGCAGATACTTCACCCGAGATCATTTTTAGAGCACAATCAAGCAGGAAGGAGACGGAGACTGCAATTTTGATTCCAGGCATATTTACTATCATGATAGGACGCTCAGAAGTGTGATCTGAAGCGTACTAGAAGTCAGTTAGCTTACAATATTTATAGCAAAATTCACTAGTTCAGACATGCGCACAATTGCCATGACATTTACACAGATATAAACATTAACAGAGGTATTTCGCATTACCTTTTCCCATACATCACAATGACATATTATATTGACGTACTTATAATTGTTTCAAATCTTAATTATTCCCATATTCGTAATATATCTGAAGTTACCTGCTATTTACCTCACTGAACCACCAGATGTTGCTCTGACCTTTTCCAGCCTCAGATCAATTATCTACACAAGCGTCCTTGTCTGGTTGCCAGAAACATTCCCTTGATGATAAACATCTCACTTTATTATTGTTTCCCAAATGTCATGTTCCCGTTAATATTTAACTTTCTTGAGCCTAACCCATGAAGCTGGTTAAGTCAATCATTTACTTTCATCTATGGAACTCTTCGCTCTCTCTACCCAACCTCCCTGCCGCAGAGCTCTCTCTCAAGGTATTCCAAGATATGCTTTTCTATATTCTTTTTAAATACATTTTTTCCGCTGACTGCTACATTCCCCCCTTTTTGCGAGCGGATGTTCCACAGTAGACTCGCAAACTCACGCAATTACATTTTTAGCAAAAAAATAACATTTAACACAATCATTTATCACAGTTATTGAAGAATGTTCCATACACGTTGGCATCTTCACAGTGCTCCTCATTCTTCTGTCTGATGTATTTAACCCGCGTTCAGATGTAGTCAAACCAGAGCCGTAGTCCTCCTTCTGGATCTCATGGCACTGCTGGTTTGATGATATAAAGTCTCAAAGGAATCCTTTTGGATCAAGAGTCACGGTCCCTTCGAGTGATGCTTTCCTTATTCTAGTATAATGTAGCCAGTCTTTTATCTGCAAAGGGGCTATGACCAGCTCTTTTCCTCGTCCCTTTCGGGTCGCGGCCTTTGCTGTGGTATCAGCCTACCAGTTTCCATAGGTCACACATTCCTCGTCACATCGATGTACTCTGCAGTGCATTACTGCTACTGATGCAGGAACTCAAACAGCATCTAATAATTTCAAAATGGTCTCACTATGTTGTATTTCTCCCAACAGAATTTAGTAGTCCCTTGTCCTTATATAATGCTCCACATGCATATAAGGTAGTGAATGTATATCTAGAATCTGTATACATGTTGACTATTTTTTCTTCTAATAACTCCAGAGCTCTAATGAGTGCTATCAGTTCTGCCCTCTGAGCTGGAGCATTTAGAGGAAGTGGTTCTATTTCCCACACAGTAGTTATAGTTATTATTGTATATCCAGCATATCTTTTTCCTTTTTCAACCAAACTGCTTCCATCTGTAAAAAGAGTGGCATCTACCTCAGGCCATGGTTAATCTTTTATATCAGATCTATTGGAATATATCTCATACATAATTTCTAAACAATCATGTTGAAGCATTTCCCTTTCAACAAGCAGAAGTGAACCAGACTTTAATATACTGCAAGTCTGTAACTTGATTTAAGAGTTTTCACATAATAAAATCTGATATTTTTGCATATGGCTATTTATGAACCAATGATATCCTCTATAGTTCATGATAGCCATTACTGAATGAGGGTTTTAACTATCAACTCTTGTCCCAAAGTCAATTTATCAGCTTCCTGAGTCAACCAGGCCATAGCAACTACAGCACATAGACCAGTTGGTCAACCTTTTACTACAGGGTCAATTTGCTTAGACAAGTAAGCTACTGGTCTCGGCCATGTTCCTAATAGCTGGGTATGCACCCCTCCTGTTATTTCATCTCATTCACCAACATAAAATATGAATGGCATCTTCAATTCAAACAAGCCCAAGGCCGATGCTTGCATCAAAGCTTGCTTTCAACTATGCAAATGTTTGGGCAAATTTGGGGTCCAATTAAATGGTTCCCTTTCACCCCCCTTTGTAACTTCATAAAGAGATCTTATCATTATAGCTGCAAAGCCCTTATTCCAACCACAGTTTTCTTTCCAACTTTTCAACTTGAGCTGAGAGTTTTTCCCGAATTGTCTTATATTTGAAACTGAACCCATAGCAGGGAACAAAATGGCTCCCAACCTTACTCCTTCATTTAAATAAGTTCTGTCTGGATCATCTCCAACCTCTTCATCATAAACTCCCTTTTTAAAAATTGTTCTCTTTTCCAAATCATTTAGGATGGTTATTCTATATATTATCACATCTGCTAGCATTAGGATACCTATCGTGCATGTTCCAACCCAAAAAGGTGGCAAAATCTTTCCTGCCCACTGTCCGCAAATCCGATACAGCCCGGGGTGGGTAACCTTCCCTTTGTTACTAGAGACTTTTTAGCACAGCCTGACGGGTTTCCACCTCCTTTACCACTCTGGCAGGATTTGGTTCCCCTTGACTCTGCTGTGATCTTTCATTTGGTGGTCTCTCAAAGGGGGGTTCCCCTTGACCCTGCGGTACCTCCCTGCTGGGGGTCCTTGGCTGATCACGGTTTTTGCTGGCAGCTTTTTCCTGGGCCTGTTTAATGTGGGTATCCAGTTCTAGTAAAACAACACTATCAAATTTTTCCCATCCGTTTAGAATGCTCTAAATGGGCTAAGAGGCTAATGTCCTCGAAAGCCTCTGTTTTAAATACATGGAGAAGGAGATTGCAATAGGGATAATGACCAAGTTCTATTTGGTGAGTATGGAGAAGGTTTTCCTGATCTTGTGTCCCTCTCATTTCTTTCCCAAGTGATACATGCTGGGGCCTCCGGTGAGATCCCTTTATGTGTCACTATAGCTCTGCTCTGGATCAAGTAAGATTTCAATCATCTCATAATTTTGAGGCTGTAAGGTGCTTCATCCTTTTTAACTTAATAGCGTTTCCTACCATTAGTGGCCATCCCTCACGCTGGGAAATAGGCCCATGACTGCAAATCCAACACTCAGTAACTTCTGTCTCTTTTGCTATATCCTGACTCATCTGATGGAATATGTTTTTTTTTTTTTTCCCATCCCTCCTTGTACTACCTTCGGGATGAGTACACTCAACTTAATCAGGTAATAAATATACCACATGCCTACATAAATACGCTTTCCCCCAAAAACATGTCTGTAATTGTAACACATCCATACCAACCCCAAGATGATAAGGAGTCCACAATAACACACTCCCAACCCTGAAAGTCCATCCAATCTTCTTTCTTCTTTCTTCTTTCTTCTTTCTTCTTACAGATGTTGGCTCTCTCTCTTATTCAGAGCCACTTTTATCCTCTTATATTTTTAAGTCTTTGAAATATCTTCTTATTTATGTACGTTGTAATTAGTTCTTTATACCGTTGATCAACTCCTAAACTGTAAGTCAGGGTCAGTCACTGTATGATCTCCTTTTTAAGCAGGCTTAATTCATCCGCAATTTGGCATTCCCCTCATAGCATTAGGACATTCATCAAGCAATAGACCATTTCCAATTTTTTTCACAGGGATCACACTTCCAAAAATTTTCCCAGCCACTCTGAGTCTTCCAACACAACAGAGGGTACTGTAACAGGCTAACATAAAATCATTAACATTTCCAAAATTTGTACTTCTTAATGCTTAATTCCCCTTTCCTTCCACATCATACTACCCTCATCTATCTTCATTCACCTATCAATTCAGTTGCCGACATTTTTTTTGGACTTTTAAAAAAGGGGTGTACATGTCAATCATAACATTCAATTTGTCACTGCTCTTCCCACAAAATCTTCTATGTTTAAATATATCTCAAATTGTCACTACCTTTCTCCTGTGTGAGACAGTTTCAATTTTTCTTTTTCAAAAAATTTTCCTTTCCCTTTTCCTAGTGAGGGCATTCAAGTTGGCCATTCTTGAATACTCTCAACACATAATAACCCATCAAATATTTAAACACATAATAATTAAACATAATCAACCTCACATAACAGTCTTGATGCATCCAAATCTGTCTTCATACATGCATTCACTTATTCTAAACTGCAATATTTCCACACATTTATCTAAACTTTCAAAAAGGGAATCTATTCATTCACATCTCAATATTTCAGGTTTCTATTATTAAGCACATGCTAGATCTTTACATTTTTCTTCCTATTATTTCATCACCTACTGTATCACTTTCTCTATATTCTCTGGCTACATTTCTCCTTTCAATTCTACCTTGTCCTAGGCACTTACACATCTTGGTTTTTCTCCCGTATTAACCCTATTCTCTTATTCTGACTTGCTTTTCCCTACACATACCTTCTTCACATACCTTTTAATTTTCTTCTTGGTTTTGCTTACCCACATGAAAACATATAGACTTGGCATTTTCCATCATCATGTGTATTTTTCCTGAATTTATCCTCTTTTTCTTTTTATTTGAAACCTGTAAAGATTATATTTTTTTTTCCCCAACACAAACAGTTTCCACACATTCCTTTTTGGCTAGCCATCCACATACATTCAAGTTGTCCAGAAAATGTAAACGAACATTTTTCCTTGTCCCAAAAGACAGGCACCATTTCATCACATTGTACGTAGCGTTTCCTTTTTTCTCTCATTTTTCTCATTTTTCATTTTTCTTTTTCTTTTCCATCTTGGCTTTTTCCCGGAAGCCTGAAACCATTTGTCTCTTTTCATTATACACATCTCCACAACAAAAACAGGCATTGATACACAAATGTGTGCAAGAAGGGGTAAAACATATGAACACAAACACCATTAACCAAGACAACCACAAAACATAAAACAGACTTATCACTTTCCCCCTGAAAGGGTATTCCTCCAACCTGTGAGTGTGATTTCTGTAGCGAAAACAATCACTCGGGGGGTTTTCACTTGATTTCTGCAGCAATCCCCCAGTGAAATATTCCCCAGGTACTTCCAATGTACCCCTTTTTAAGGCCTTTTCCTTTACCTGTGCCATGGAATCAAAGCTCTCAATGTACCCCAGTCTGGAGGCAGGGAAGGCGAAGATCAGCCGGGTCGTTTTCTCTCAATGGGTACCCGTATCGCCCCTTCTGATCATCGTCTTACCCGACCCGCTGAGTGGGGCAATCAAACCCTCAAAAGGTTTCGTCTCTATTCCTCTTGTTGGCTCCGATCCCGGACGAGCCCCCATTTGTCGCGGCAGATACTTCACCCGAGATCATTTTTAGAGCACAATCAAGCAGGAAGGAGACGGAGACTGCAATTTTGATTCCAGGCATATTTACTATCATGATAGGACGCTCAGAAGTGTGATCTGAAGCGTACTAGAAGTCAGTTAGCTTACAATATTTATAGCAAAATTCACTAGTTCAGACATGCGCACAATTGCCATGACATTTACACAGATATAAACATTAACAGAGGTATTTCGCATTACCTTTTCCCATACATCACAATGACATATTATATTGACGTACTTATAATTGTTTCAAATCTTAATTATTCCCATATTCGTAATATATCTGAAGTTACCTGCTATTTACCTCACTGAACCACCAGATGTTGCTCTGACCTTTTCCAGCCTCAGATCAATTATCTACACAAGCGTCCTTGTCTGGTTGCCAGAAACATTCCCTTGATGATAAACATCTCACTTTATTATTGTTTCCCAAATGTCATGTTCCCGTTAATATTTAACTTTCTTGAGCCTAACCCATGAAGCTGGTTAAGTCAATCATTTACTTTCATCTATGGAACTCTTCGCTCTCTCTACCCAACCTCCCTGCCGCAGAGCTCTCTCTCAAGGTATTCCAAGATATGCTTTTCTATATTCTTTTTAAATACATTTTCTTCCGCTTGCTGCCACATTAACAACATAAAACTATATGCGTACATGCAGTCCCAAGCAAAATTTGTGGACATTTGTGCTCCAAATTAATGGAGCTTGATTGTAGTTTGCAAGCATTGAAAGAAGGAAATGGCAGAAAGTGAAGTGTCCAAAGGCATGGGAAGCCTATACAATACATTTGGACTTTCATTTATAAATGTATGTAAACAAATGTATTAAGATTAACAGGTTAATTGCATGTAAATATGGTTCTTTGAGTGAATTGTTTCATGTGCATATCTCAGACCTTTCTAGAGCTTTGCAATATGCATTTTGGCAGTAGCTGCTCCCATCCTCTGCAAACATGGCCAATGCACTCTTACACAAACCCTGTTTGCTGATGCAGCAGCCAAAGAACTAAGGAAGGCAGAACACAATTGGCATGCAAGCAGATTTTGTGGGAGAAGAGGATGCCATACTTGAATAAGATGACTGAAGGAGATCACATGTCCTATCATCACTAATATAGCCAGAGAGACAGTGGCCAGCAGAGCCTGCAGTCTTAAAGGGCTCCTCATAGAAAAAGATCCTATTGGGTGACTGGTATGGGTAGTATTTCCAGAAAATGCACCAGCAGCCTGGGAAGGAGCCTACACAATGCATAATCCTAAAGGAGAGGGCAGCCATCAAATAAAATTTCCAGCTCATGGAATCCAATTTCTTCACCTCTCTATTCACTGGAGATGAATGGAGTTTTTGAGTTTCAGTTGGGCACACAGTATTCAGTTTTGGGTGGCATAAGAACCACAAACCTCAGCCACCTTGTAACGACTTTTTTGGCTTGGAAGAGATAGAAAATGGAATATATTTGGACGTTCTGATTACTTGAAAGAAGCATGATTTTTTTTTAAAAAAAATTGAGGCTATTTAAAAAGCCTGGCTCTGCACTCATTAGAAGACCAGGTCTAAGACAGAGGGTTCTGTTTCTTTAATTGCCAGATCCAAGGCCTTGGACATTCTCAATATCTGATCTATGAAGGACACGACATCTGCTGAAGAAGCTGAGTCACATTCACCAACCAAGACAGGTGGAGAGTGCCTGACAGGTAAATCTGATGACTTACAATGACAAATTTGAATCACCCTCATAGCTAGGCTGTGAAAGTGTGCAGCAGACAGGATGAAGATGCCACCAAAGGTGGCAGATGAGATGGACCTGTCAATGGTATCAGGAGGCAGATGTGACTGATCACACAATAAGAAGACGCTCACACTGGAATCTCATACTGAAGGGCCATTGGAATATGGGTCCATACTGAAGACTAGGATGGGATACTAAGGGTAATAATAGAATCTGGAACTTAGTTCTGCAGTGGATGGTATTAACAGAGGTATCAGGTTCCTCTGATAGTGATGGGAATTAGATGTTTCTTCAGGATTCCCATAGAAATGATGATGACCATTTTCATGACAGTAGTACTCTGGAGATTAAGTAATAGGATCCATGCTAATATCTGTACGACTTGGAAGTAACTGGGCCTGGAGTGGCAGTGCCCCTGTTGAACATGACAGTACCTATGGGAGGACCTGGAGTGGTGCCCAAATAGGCTACAGAATTTAGAGCCCTGTGCTTCTGTGCTGGCCAAAGCTGACCGTAAACTTGAAGTTCACCGCTAAGTACTCTGAACATCCATGCAGATAATTTGATACTGAAGAAGACGTCAGCTCGAAGGTTACAGTGCAGTCAATCTGCTCTGTTTAAGTAGAGTAGAAGAACAAGCCCTAAAACTCACATCTGACCCGATGCCTACAACTACAGGCAGATGAAAGTGCTCTTACACTTCAACAATCTGGTCTGAAGAATGCTCAGACTGCATCGATATTAGTGCAGAAGACAAACTCTCTCAAGAAAGTGGAAAAACAAGAATTTGCTGGGTTGGAGGCTTATGATGCAACTGTACTTGCAAAGAGTATTGACCAAAGATCTCTGGATTCCTCAACTTCTTTTTCTTCTTGCGCTGATTGTGGCATGGTCCCAACAATGGCCCTGCCTTGATATGAAGGGATCAACATCATCTAGAGTAGGCATGGGCAAACTAAAGCCTGGGTATCGGATGCGGCCCCCTGGGCTCTTAAATCAGGTCCTCCTAATTTTCCTTGTCCTCTTGGCAGAAGGACATGGTGGCCCACCGCATCCTGACAACAAAAAGATGAGGAGGGAGGCACGTAGCAGCTAAGAGCCCTCTGGAGTGCTCTCAGCCACCGTGTGTCTCACCCTCCTCTTGGCATAAGGACAGTGCGAGTGGCCCCATCCTTATGCCAGGAGGACAACTCAAGGAAGGCACACAGCGGAAAGCCCTCTGGAGCACTCTCAGCCACCGCCTGTCTCACTCTCCTCCTGGCACGCCAAGAGGACAGCCTGAGGATCGGGGGAGGAGGATCGGGGGAATTGCTGCGTGTCTTTCTCTCAGCATAAGGATGGGGTAAGTAGCCGCTTCCATATGACAGGAGAACAACCTGAGGATGATGCCTGCCCTGCCTTCTCATGTGCCTGCACCCCTCCTAGCCGGGCCCTCCTGGCCAGGCCCACATTGTGGCCCCAAGGCAAAAAAGTTTGTCCATGCCTGATCCGAGGAACAATAACTGTTCGGATACTGGACCTTCTCCAAGACATAGAAGGCACTTTGAATGGGTCTTCTCCAGAATCTTGTTACTGTATAAAATGCACTTTTTGAAAGACCTGGAGAAGGTCATAAACCCAAGGGGTATGAATGGCAAGAAAATGGACTCAACAAAGTAAACCAAGCCAATATCACAATCCAAATATTATAATTAAGTTTGAAGTCAAGATAGGTAAAGATTGAGAACTGAAGACAAGCCAAAACACATTCAAGTCAAAAAAAGGAAACAATTCAAATGTTAATCCAAAACTTGTAATGGAACCAACTCTTAACAATTCCTAACAATGCTGTTGCTGTAGTGAACTAAAAGGAATGAGGGTTGTAGGCAGGAAGCACAATGATCATATGCCTGGAGGATGGGAGAGGTTAGAACCAAAACAGTTGACTTAGCTCTTGAAGGTTCTGAGATGGGAACTGTGTAGGTCGATGACCCATTCGTGTGAGTCACAAAGAGGCAATTTGAGTACTAGCCTCTGCAAGCTTATATGACTCTAAAAAGTTGCAGATATTTCTTGCAGTGAATCTTGACGTACCTCTGAATCACTGCCACAGCTTAATAACCAAAAGGTAACATTTAGATTTAAAATCTAACACTTTCTTATCATGTAATCTATTATATCCTTGGCTAACTTGCTAACTTATGACTTAAGATCTTACCTACATACTCAGGTGTTCCCATAATTTCTCTTAGTTCTTCACTATTTTTCATTACTCTGGAAAGGCCAAAGTCTACTAGCCTAATATCTCCCAATGGTGATTCACTGGTTAGCAGAATATTCTGTGGCTGAAAAACAAGTGTATTCATTAATTACAACAAGCATGTAAGTAAAAAAAAATGTGTGGCCACCCTAACTGCTTATAATCCTGTCCATTTTGAACAGCAAATGTTTCAAAAGAGCTGTTTAAAAGTTTTCATCTGAATCAAGCCACTTCCAGACAAACCAAACAATGTCTACAAATACAACAATATGCTGTATAGCAAAATATTTAAATGCCGAATTATTAAACTATAAGAAAAGGAGGTAATGATTGAATTGGTTGTTCAATTTTAGTAAGTTTATCACAATAGAACAGTGGAAGATCTATAAATAATTCCAAAATTTAAACGCAGATAGGTTGAGCATCTCTTATCTGAAACGTTTGGGGCCAAAAGTATGGCATTTTGGATTTCAGAATACCTGTATTTGCATATATGTATATCTTGGAGATGAGATCCAAGTCTAAACACAAAATGCATCTGTTACAGCTTATACACATAAACCTGAAGGTAATTCTATACAATATTTTTAAATAATTTCATATATAAAGGAAAATTGTATACATGGGAACAGCAGAAAACAGAGTTAGCATGAACCAGAGGGAAGAAATCATATTGATGTACTATCAGAATTCTGCTACAAGGTAGTGAATTGGTGGTACAGAATTTCTGTAAAACTTAAACTGAATGAATTCTCAATGAATTTCCAAGAATTACCGATAATACTGTAGAAACTATTTTGATTTATAGGATGGGTTGTGAATCGAAACACTGTTGCCTGTAGAGGTTGCTTGGTATATCACATGGCCCATTTGAGTATAAGATAATAAAACAAAGATTTTGTGTGTTTATAGTTTAAAAATAAGCAAAACCTCTAATTGCTCACATTATTTCTTTTCTTATTCATATTTTCTTATTTTTCATTCTCTAGATTGAAAGCATCTTATGACAGTGGCTATAAACTGCCATGCATTGTACAAGTAGAGCATCTGGAATTCTAAACCCAAAATACCCCCAAATGCACACTGGCCCATTGGGTGGCTGACATAGTGACACCTTTGGTTCCTCACAGTTCTTCTATCCAATCTGAGCTAATTGTAATTCCCAACCACACCACCTGCAAAGATTCCAGCAGGACAGTTCCCAAAAGATCTGGAATTCCTGGGCTTTAATTGCTTAGGTCATTAAGACAAATCAGGGACTTTGTGTAATTTCCCATTCTTTAAATCAACAGGTTTGGGGGGGGGGGGGAGTGTCTTACTTTATGAACTTTCCAGGCTATATGTTGAGGAAATCCCATCTCAAATTTGCAAACATCACTTGAAAAACTTCTGGGATGTGCAATTTACCTCTAAATGTAACTAGGACACTTATAATTTAATGAAAATATTATGCTGAAGCAGATATATGTGTCCTTAATGCTGACTCAAATCTGCAGGCCTTACATTAAATAAGATAGGAAAACAAGATTAGACTTACCTTCAAATCAAGGTGAACTACATTATTTCGATGCAAAAATGAAACTCCTTCTAATATCTGTCTCATGAGACGTCTAACATCTTTTTCTTTGAAAGCATCTTCTCTTTCAGCTACACACTGGTCAAAAATTTCTCCACCTGCAGCACTGAGGAAGAGGACATTCAATTTTACACAGGAGAATCATCGTACTCAGTGATTCACTCTGTCTATGTTTATAAATTATGTGGATGCTAACTCTGAACTTGCTTAACTGACAAGAAAGCTTTTCAGTATTTTGGTAACCTATCTTTATATCCAGTAAAAAAAAAAGAGAATCAATTTTTCTAAACTATCTTTTAAAATTATAAATACACTAGCCGTCCCCTGCCACGCGTTGCTGTGGCCCACATGGGGGTTCTGTGTGGGAGGTTTGGCCTAATTCTATCGTTGGTGGGGTTCAGAATGCTCTGTGATTGTAGGTGAACTATAAATCCCAGCAGCTACAACTCCCAAATGTGAAGATTCTATTTCCCCAAAACTCCACCAGTGTTCATATTTGGGCATATTGAGTATTTGTGGCAAGTTTGGTCCAGACCCATCATTGTTTGACTCCACAGTGATCTTTGGATGTAGGTGAACTACAACTCCAAAATCCAAGGCCAATGCCCACCAAACCCTTCTAGTGTTTTCTGTTAGTCAGGGGAGTTCTGTGTGCCAAGTTTGGTTCAATTCCATTGTTGGTGGAGTTCAGAGTGCTCTTTGATTATAGATGAACTATAAATCCCAGTAACTGCAACTCCCAAATGACAAATCATAATTTTTGAGTGATGGTCACTCCTTGTGTTGTGAGACGTTTTGTTGCCAAATTTGGTGTGATTTCGTTCATTGGTTCTTTTGTTTTTAAGGTACTCATTATGTACAGAGCATTTTTATATATATAGATGTTATTTAAAAGAAATATTTAGTTGGCTTTATTATAAATTGTCTTAAATTTGGAGGGAAAAATGCAAAATAAATAAATAAATAAATAAACCTTGTGAAAATGTCATGTGTTATGCAATATTTAAAAACGACGAAACCTTTTCTGTTTTATGTTCTCTGGTATAAAAACTTCATTTGATGCATACTTGGATCCACTATTATTTTGATGAAGACAAATTTGCAATGCATGTTATTCAAGAGCAATATGTAAAAGTGATACCGTAGAAAACTGGTGGGGTTAACAGGTTAAATAATGTCAAATCTTGATGACCAATTATCTCTCTATTAACTTTCTATTATTGATGTTTTTATAAAGCAAATACATTGCTTGTAAGATGCAATGTCATTGTAAGCCTCGAACAAGCGGTCTGCACTTCACTCCCTTCATATAAAATACCTTAGTAGAAAAGAATAGAGACATAGAATGTTTGGCCACTATTATTCAAGAACAGCTTCAAATTCCAGTAGATGTTTATGCAGGCCTGATGGAGGAGTGGCACTGATGCAACAAGCAGCCACATGAACCTGAGGACATAAATGTTCAGAACCTCTAGAAGCTAGATGTGACATGTAGCTGACGGCAAGGAAAATGGCAATTAGATCACACCAGGAGTAGGGAAGACACTCAAGCCTATTATGTCCTATTTTCCCCCAGTTCAAGGCTGGTATGTAAAAATACTAGACAAAGCAATAGGTTTCACATGTAATTTAACTGGTCAATCAGCTTAATATTGGATTAAGATGCAGATGCAGGCAAAACATCAGGAGATGCCTCTAGAACATGGCCATATAGCCGAAAAAAACCTACAACCCAGATGTTTTAGATGGTGCTTAGTAGCAAAAGAAATGCAATAGATTCACATTTCAAGAAAGTAACTTGTCCAATGCTGCAAAAAGAGGGCATGACAGAGTCAGAACATACCAAGATAAATTGATTTTCTTCTATTAAAAATATATTATTTCCAATAAGTTATTAATTAGAACCCCTTTCATTCTACAAATCTATATATATAAATTTGTTAGGGGCATCCAACGAGGAAACAAAACTCAAAAACCCCCCAACGAAACTTAACCAAAATTCCCATGCCCATAACACAACCCACAAGGTACAAACATATCTACTCAAAATGAAAAACAACACAACAACACACTCACAAAACGGCAAAACAGCAAAACTCAAAAATCCCCCAACGAAACTTAACCAAAATACCTGTGCCCATAACACAACCCACAAGGTACAAACATATCTACTCAAAATGAAAAACAACACAACAACACACTCACAAAACGGCAAAACAACAAAACTCAAAAATCCCCCAACGAAACTTAACTAAAATCCCCGTGCCCATAACACAACCCACAAGGTACAAACATATCTACTCAAAATGAAAAACAACACAACAACACACTCACAAAACGGCAAAACAACAAAACTCAAAAATCCCCCAACGAAACTTAACCAAAATCCCGTGCCCATAACACAACCCACAAGGTACAAACATATCTACTCAAAATGAAAAACAACACAACAACACACTCACAAAACGGCAAAACAACAAAACTCAAAAATCCCCCAACGAAACTTAACTAAAATCCCCGTGCCCATAACATAACCCACAAGGTACAAACATACCTACTCAAAATGAAAAACAACACAGCAACACACTCACAAAACGGCAAAACAACAAAACTCAAAAATCCCCCAACGAAACTTAACCAAAATCCCCGTACCCATAACACAACCAACAAGGTATAAACATATCTACTCAAAATGAAAAACAACACAACAACACACTCACAAAACGGCAAAACAAAACTCAAAAATCCCCCAACGAAACTTAACTAAAATCCCCGTGCCCATAACACAACCCACAAGGTACAAACATATCTACTCAAAATGAAAAACAACACAACAACACACTCACAAAACGGCAAAACAACAAAACTCAAAAATCCCCCAACGAAACTTAACTAAAATCCCCGTGCCCATAACACAACCCACAAGGTACAAACATATCTACTCAAAATGAAAAACAACACAACAACACACTCACAAAACGGCAAAACAACAAAACTCAAAAATCCCCCAACGAAACTTAACTAAAATCCCCGTGCCCATAACACAACCCACAAGGTACAAACATATCTACTCAAAATGAAAAACAACACAACAACACACTCACAAAACGGCAAAACAACAAAACTCAAAAAAACCCCAACGAAACTTAACCAAAATTCCCATGCCCATAACACAACCCACAAGGTACAAACATATCTACTCAAAATGAAAAACAACACAACACACTCACAAAACGGCAAAACAACTGAGCATGCGCATTGGCGCCCAGCCGCAAGTTCCATCGCGCGCGCACATGGCCTTCCGGCCAACGTTCCCTCTGCGGAAACCATGCCCACTCCAAGCCCCGCCGCGCCGCTTCCCGCACACACACACACCCTGCCGCACACACACACACAACCCCACGCTCCATCACTCCCCCCGCCGCACACACACACGCAACCCCACACTCCATCACTCCCCCCGCCGCCGCACACACACGCAACCCCACTCCCCCGCCGCCGCACACACACACGCAACCCCACGCTCCATCACTCCCCCCGCCGCCGCACACACACACGCAACCCCATGCTCCATCACTCCCCTGCCCCAATCTTACCTCCTTTTACTTCAGGCCACCTCCAAACCCCACCCCGCCCCTTCCCGCCCTGTCAAAATCTAGGAAAGACAGGAAGGAAGGAAAGAAGGAAGAAAGAAAGAGAAAGGGAGGTAAAGAAAAAGGGGGAAGGAAGGAAAGTTAGAGGAAGAAGAAAAGGAAAGAAAAGGAAAGATGGAAGGAAAGAAAAGAGAGACAGCAGAAGAGAAAGAAAAAGGGGGAAGGAAGGAAAGAGATAGAGGAAGAAGAGGAGAAGGAAAGATGGGAAGGAAGGAAGGAAGGAAGGAAGGAAGGAAGGAGGGAGGGAGGGAGGGAGGGAGGGAAGGAAGGAAGGAGGGAGGGAGGGAAAGAAGGAGAGAAAGAGGGAAGATTGGCCACAGCAACACGTGGCGGGTAAAGGTTGTTATTTCTATTATTATTATTATGCTATTGTTCCTATGAGACCCTTTTAGGGGGAATGGGAGAGGTGTCAGGTCCCAGAGGCAATGCATTGCATTATTGTTATTGTTATGATGGTGGTGAAATAAAAGGAAATAAAAAGTGAAAGAAGGAAGCAAACAGGGAGGGAAGAAAGGCAAAGGAAGAAAGGGGGAGGGAATGAAGGAAAGAGAGAAGGATGAAACCAAGTAGGGAAAGGAGGAAAGAAAGAAAGAGGTAGAGAAGGAAGAAAGGAGAGAAAGGGGGAGGAAAAGGGGGAAGGAATAGGTAGGTACCTCTCTTTCATAATAGTCCAGATATCTACCTCAACTTTGATAAGTTTTACTATAGGCCACAGCAACGCGTGGCAGGGCACAGCTAGTACATTATATAATGATGAAGATAATACTTACTATTCCAAAACCAAAATCATTTCTGTAGGTGTTTCATACACTTCATGCAAGGTGATAACCCAGTGATTGAGTTGTGCTAGTTCCAGAACTGCAATCTCATGAATGATCTCCATCCGGCAATCTTGTCCCTTTCTTCTTTTCCTCATAAATTTTGCTGCAAATTCTTTTTCAGTCTCTTTCTTCACACATTTCTTTACTACTGCAAATTTGCCCCTTGAATTAGAAAGGAGAAGAAAGAAAACATTAGCTGGAAGCAGATTTAGGCTATATTTGCTACCCAACAAACTCAAAACATAAGAAAAATAATTGCCAGTGTCTTAGGATACTTCTCAACAAACAGCTCTTTGTGCTACCAAGCAAACTACTGACTCCACTTGTCTCTTTCTTTGCTTATTTTTTGTGATAAGGAAAACGATAGGAGTGGCGAGGAAACATATTGGGGGGGGGGGGCACAGGAATTTCCACAAAGAAGTTTAGGGCAATTGCACAATAAAACCTTTGTTTAGAATCACTCATATATGTTATTTTTTTTCCTAATTGCCTTAAGGAAATGTTCATGACTTACAAGCTGAGACTTCACATCATATATATATAGAGAGAGAGAGGGAGAGAGAGAGATCAACATGCAGCCACAAAGATTTTTTTGTAAAATAGATTTAAAAAAATATTTTAATTCAAAGTTTTGTCCTTTTGTGTTCTAGCTTGCAAAACTAAAAAGCATAAACACTGTGGTACAGTTTACAATCGGCATTTGCAGCTTTAACTTTTGCAAATGTGATTATTCATGGATTTGATAAGTATGGTTTTTTTCCTAGTAATCTCTGGATGAGGCATAAATATGGTCCCTCTCACAGTCTCACAATGAAAGAAAAAGCATCAGACATCACGATGTGCCAGTATTCCAGGAACGTCCCTGAGCATCCTCCTGTCCCCACAGTTGAGGTTTTGTTCTGGCTTATCTTGGATCCTATCTGAGCTATCCCTTTATTTTGAGCCCTATAGCAACACAATTTCTGCTTGAGTATCACTCCTAAAGGAGAAAGCGGAATACTAATATGAATAAGCTGTATACATTATATAAATTAATATACCTATATACCACCTATTTATCACCGGGAGCCCCCAGTGGCGCAGTAGGTTAAACCCCTGTGCTGGCAGGACCGAAGACAGACAGGTCACAGCTTCGAATCTGGGAAGAGCACAGATGAGCTCCCTCTGTCGGCTCCGGCACCCCATGCGGGGACATGAGAGAAACCTCCCACGAGGATGACAAAAAAATAAAAAACATCCGGGAGTCCCCTGGGCAACGTCCTTGCAGATGGCCAATGCTCTCACACCAGAAGCGACTTGAAGTTTATCAAATCACTCCTGACACGAAAAAAAAACATATTTACTCAAATCTAATGCTCATCATTTTTGGCTAAATTACTTTGCTAAAATTAGGGTCCACATTAGATTCGCATAATACGGTAGTCTTAGAGTTGAGCCAAAGCAGAAGGTGAAGCTGCTTTGTAGTCACTATTTGAGGGACATCATGTCTAATTTTATTGTCATGGCTCAATGCTATGTAATCTTGAGATCTGTAGTTTGGTGAGACATTAGCATTCTTTGGCAGAGAAGGTTGAAGCCCTTGTAAAACTAGAACCCTTATGATTCTACAGCATATAACCTAGGCAATTAAAATGGATTCACTCTATAATATAGATGCATGCCAAGACTTCCTTTTCCATTGCTGGAAGTGTTCTAACACTTTTATTTTTTAAAGAAGAATTCTGTAATGGGCACTTTTTTGGCCAAATTACAAAAAGTGCTGCTGTTCATTACATTTGGCTATACATATATATGTGTGTGTGTATATATATATATACACATATATATAGGTATTTGGTTTCAGGGTTTTGAAAACTGAGGAGTGCATTAGATTCAATAGTGCATTAGATTCAAGTAAATACTTTATATATGTTCCCAATATTTTTGCTCATGACATTTTCCTCACATGATACAGAATGCAGAAAGCCAAGGCCGCTGAGAAGCAGCCATCAAAGAACTTAATCTGAACACACACTCTTTTGGAATCTTATTAGGAATTCTAAGGAAAACATCATTTCTGAAGACTACAGGATATTTCAAAATGATAGAACCAGTTGCAAATCAGTATATTTCATGATAGCAACATGTTACAATTACACAAAAAGTTACAAATGGTTTCATTAATTATGAAGTTATCCAGTTTTACTAACAATTTTGAGCCAGAAACAAATCTAAAAAATAACTCTGTAAATTGAGAATATATCATTAGGCCTTATGTTTAATGTTATTGAACAAATTTCAACCAGTTTCCAATCTTCCCTTTTTGGGCAAAGTCTTGGAACATGTGGTGGCCTTGCAACTCCAGGTGTTCTTTTTTATTATTATTCTTTTTTAAATTTTTAATAATTGATTTCTTAGTTATGTATCACCAACAAACCCCCCTCCCCCCATTCCCCCACCTCCCTGGAACAGCAATTCTAAATCATGTCATTACATCAATTTAACCGTATGGAAAGCCTGGTTCAAAATACTGTATTTGTCGTCTCAGTCTATTTTGTCAATTAACACAGACCATTTCCTAAACCAGTCATGTTCTCTTTGACTATTTATATACTTGTTTTTGCTTTGATTGATAAAATCATTAATTATATATTCTGATAGATAAGCCCACCAGGTTTCCAAATCCCATTTTGTATCGTCTCTCCATCCCCGGGCTATTGTGGCCTGTATTGCAGCTGTCATATATTTTAGGATTTCTGTCCAATTATTGTTTGCCTTTATGGTGAAGGACATGAACCTGGCTTTATTCCACATTAATTCTTTCCCTATTATGTCTTCCATTACAGTCCTTATTATGCCATAATAGTTCTGAATTTTGATACAATCTCACCACATGTGGGAGAATGTACCTATCCCCCCACATTTGTGCCAGCATTTGTTTGAGATATTTCCCATTATGTGTGCTAATTGGGTGGGGGTCCTATACCATTTGGAGATTATTTTCCCTTGGGTTTCTTTGATCCTCATATGTTTAGTTTTATGAATATTGTCAATCCAAGATACAATTAATTTCTCATTGAAGCTTTCGTCTTGTTTCCAGTTTTCTATAAAGGTTGTTTTTGTTTTGTAAATTAAGGTGATTAATTCCTCATATAGTAGCCCAATAATTCCTTTGTCTATTTCTACTTTCCTTTTAATTATTCTGTCAAGTGGGGTTTCTGCTACTTCAGGTGTTCTTGGAAGAATGTTATTATCTAGATCCGTCGCAGTGTGGCTTTAAGCCGGGTCATGAAACTGAAACAGCCTTGGTCTCCTTAGTGGATTATCTACATAGAGGAACTTGACAGGGGGACTGTATCCCTTTTCATTCTCCTGGACCTCTCAGCGGCTTTTGAGACCATAAACTACAGTATCCTTCTGGGACGCATCGTAGGAATGGGGCTGGGAGGCACTGTTTTGCAGGGCTCTGGTCCTTTCTGGAGGATTGTTTAAAGAAGATTGGAGGTCCCAAAAGGAAGGTAATTAATCATGAGATAATCATGTTTTTCATTAAAAAAAACATTTGGTGCTGCTTGGCAGCTTGCCACATTTTTGCCATAGTCCTTACTGGCCTCACATGCTGCCATGATATATACTATGGACAAACTTCAAAGTCAGAAATAAGATTTTGAGAACAACCTCTGAACTCACTTCCTCACTTGACAATGTTCCTGGACTGGTTTCTTCCTTTGGGGCTTCCCGGGGGAGGAACCTACAAATTGGCCATCTTATCGAGGTCTTGTCTAGCTCTTTCTTAAATTATTTGTTTTTATATATGAATACACAGGAGGGAGGGGAAGGAGGAGGACATACAACAGCACAAAAAACCATGGAATATGCTAACCAGGTTTAGTGAATGGCTAAAAGTGGTATGAGAATCCCTTATCCCGAATTCCACAACCCAAAATACTCCTAAATCCAAAACTGACCGTATAGATTGTTGAGATAGCGGCACCTTCATTTTCTGATGGCTCAATGTACACAAACTTTGTATCATGTCCATAATTGTTCAGGTTATGTGTATAAGGTGCATAGGATCCCATCTCCAAAATTGGAAAAAAAAGGTCTAATTTGGATAAGGGATACTCAGTCTGTACTGCCATCTATGTATTTCATCATTTTCATGTGATGCTGAATGCAGAATTTTACACCTTGAGACTTTTAGTTTTCTTTTCTGGTGAAACAGATTTTTGTGACTAAGATGGGATTTCCTGCTATTAGGGTTATGGGATGAGATACCCAAAATAATCATAAGGATTGCTATATTGCATCTGTGTATGCATTTCTTTTCTTTGTTCAAGAATAAAAGAAGTAGCTATGTATTTTTTGTTTTAAACATGTTTTCAGTATTTTAGTTACTTTATCCTTAGCTTAATTTTTTGCTGTATTGTGATTGCAAAACACACTGTAGTAGCCAGTGTGGTGGATGAGGGCTATACTAGCAAGAAAATTAATCAGAGAGAAAGGCGATCCCGTTTTGATAGGGATGAGTGTTTTCGTTGTACACTCATGAATGCGTAGTCTTACTGTTTTATGGGTGCTGCACTGGTTTCTTCTGCAGAGACTCACCAAATATAGCAAGACAGTAAGTCTTTTACCATAATGTATGCAGTCCCTAGAACAAGGTTTGACATGCTGTCAGATTTTAGTAATGTGAGACCCATGATAGATTACAGCTGCATTCTCTGGAGCAACCAGAAGTCAGTTCCCAATGACAGGAAGTCATTTCAATTTATCTTTTGTCTGAGAGATGTTATGGAATGTTTCTGCTTGGGAAAGTCTTTAGAACCCCATATACGCATAGCTTCTTTTTCCAACTATTTTGCCTGTTTTGAACTAAGTCTCAGGGTGACATGTATGTACATTGTACTTCTAAAAAGATTAGTTTTTTTAGATCTGTGTAGCTCAAATACATTCAATAATTTCCATTGTAAACCATCTATACCAGGGCCAATTTGGCATAATGCAACTTTTTTTATAGATTGAAAAATAGTATGATTAATTCAACACAGTGAAAGCACACCTGGGCCTCAACTATTCAGATATATGCCAACTCTGTCCTTGGTAAACAACAGCAAAATAAATGCTGAATGTTTAACTTTCAAGATTCTAGAAACACTGAATGTTATTGCTTGGGTAAACAG